CCACGAAGAAATGACTTTTGGAGGCTCGGAAGATGTTATTCGTAATCAGCTCGTTAAACTGAATCTGAATATGTATAATAAAGTCAAAAATAAATTCCACTGTAAGTTTGCATTAGCTGAACCTTACAAAAGCCATGCAAATAGCTTACTCAGGTATCTCAGGTATCTCATCAGTTGGGCTTTCGTAAAAGATTTTTACATGCCTTTCGTACCGGAGTGTCTGTGACAATACAGCCCAAGTCCACTTTCTTGCTTGATTCGCGCCCCGCGGTCGCGCTAAAGTCGCGCAACTCACACCACGATCGCTAAGGAGTCGCTATTGTCCAGGAGCGTTCGCGACCAACCCTTATTTTACAAAAAACTCGTAATTCGCGATCGCGACGCGACAGTAGCGACTTGTTAGCGATCGCGTCGCGACTTTGCCATCCGAGCGCGATCACTGCAAGAAAAAATTGTCGTACTTTTCTCTTACGATTGCTACATGATACAGCATTGCGGCACGTCTCTCGTGCAAATCCTATTCACCGTTTTGTTTTGCTTACGCACCTCGTATATAACTCTTACTGATTTGTCGAAAAATTTTCAAAATCTTATCACATCTTAATAATAGCTTACGACGTGACTACTGTCCATTTCAAAATAGAATGAACCGTCAGTGTGACTCGAATAGCTTCAGAACGCAAACAGATATCGACAAACGGTCTTTTGCAAGCAAGGGCCACATATAGGGGAAGGGAACATATGAGAAAGAAAAATGTTTTTGATCGGATCTACAAGGGTTTTCCGAAACAATGTTGGTTTTGAGGCTGATGGAACTTCGGCATGAACTTCTTACAGCTACCCGTGTCATAGAGCAGACAGTTCTCTACATTCCAGGGCAGTTGAAATGTTTTTCATCCTATAGTTGGGCTAGGGGCGTGCATGCACGAAAACCTCGAAAAACCGATTTTTCACGAAAAAACACCCTCGAAACCTCGTATACCACGTTCTCGGGTAGCTCAAGTTGAAGAGCATGTCAAGTTACATATCTATACCAATTTTCAGGTAAAACCAACATCAGGGACGGAAAATCAGTTTTTCAACCGTCATACCGCTGACGATGCCAGTTCCTCATGATTTCATGATTCATGGTTTTTATTAAAAATACTGCTGTATTATTACTGTTTTGTTTTAAATTGTCTATTTCTCCTCTTCATTGTCTCAGTGTTGTTCTGAATTGTGTTTGTATAATATCTCTGTAATTAAAAAAAAACTTGTTTTCATTTGTTAGTGCTTTTCACTCCTTCAATATGTTGTAAAATTAATTCAGTAGTTGTCGTGTTATATGTATACTGTTAGTAAAAATAAATGTGATCGCTACAGAACACTGTTTCGTTTCTTTCTGCCTATCTTAAGCTTCTTCTGCTGGTTCTTTTTGGTAAAACAAAATCTGGGTAAAAGTATAAGCGTTTTATTCTTTAACAAAGAAAATAACAGAAACAGAGTAGTTAAAGAAAAAATATTGGACAAACAACCAAATGTATTTATATAGACGTGATCAAAACGACAAGAAAGAAAGAAATTTTTTATGCTTATTCTTCTATGTATTCTTGGAATGTCCACCTTTAAGTGGCGCCTCGAATAAATGCAATATCTGTCAAAAACACGCGATTAAACATTCTGTTCTGTATGTCGACACATATGTCGTGTGAAAAAGGTTTTGCTTAACATCAAAAAGAACTTGAATTCGACTTAACTGGTCATAACTGAAGGCAATTTTCTCAACTGCCAAATTGAACACTTAAAATGTCTATGAGAATGGTAGAAAACGAGTGTTTAATTGAATCGACAGCTGGCGAAACGATGATATAAGAAAGGTCCAACCAGTTAAATCGCGTAAAGACGCTGGACCAACCAGCTGATTTAGTTCTATTTCCCCATTTTTTCTGGAGACTACAGACCTCAGTATGTTTTTGCTTTAAAGGGTCTAACCGATATCAGCCAAACCTTCATCATAGAAAATTCAAAAATTCATCCCATCATCCTTGAAGAACTGGTGAAAAACTGTATCAATCTGACCTTGTCAAAAAAAATTTAAATTGATTTTTAGTAATTTTCTCCAATGTTTTCTACAGATCAGCTTTCTTAAAAACTGATATTTCGCTCATGATCTCCGACATAGGAGAAAGCCGTTACTGTATCGAATTTTACTGTATCGAAAGAAATTTTATGTCTTATTATGGAAGTTTAAAAATTATTTCTATTTTTGACAATCCGTCACCAACCGAGACATAGACGAAGAATAACCGAACGTATACCTAAAGCTTTCTTTAGAAAATGTATATAAGAAGTTTTTTTCCTATACAATATTTTAACACCTTTTATGACCAATTCTCAGCGGTTCAACTGAACAATTGTTGGCACGGACTTTCTCCCTCAGCATTAAGAACAATTTCTTTTGTTTAGTTAAACTTACAGTGAGAAGGCGTATCCAGACTTAGGTGACCAAACGAGTGTTGAGAGACAGTATTACGAAGAGTATCTAAAGCAAAAACTATCAATAGTAAGTGAGAATTTATAAAACTATTGTAACTGTCACCTCTATTCAGTTTGATAAAATTAATTTCAAGAAACTCCTGTGATACATAAAAAGTGTATTTTGACCGATATAACCTACCACAGAATGCTTTAAGTCGACAAGATAGTACAATTAAGTTACTTTTTCAAAGAAAGAAATTTGGTATTCTTAAAAGATTTTAAATAGGCAGTTACCGCATTCATATAAGAAACTTACACAAAATGTCACGCAAGGCTGTTTTTAAGAGGCAATAGCAGAGAAATTTCGGATTTTTGCTACATGAGTCAATTAGACTCGTATGAGTGGCTGTGTATATGTATAGAACAATTTCTTTTGTTTAGTTAAACTTATCATTTTATAAAATTCTCTGCTTTCTCTAAAACTTCGCTTACCAGATCCAAAATGTATGAATGGGTAGCTTCAGGATCGATTCTCCTCGTCACGATCTGTTGATTAATGCACGATACTTCCCATTTTCCTCGACATAATTACTTGACAGTACAATGGTTATACGATTCATTTACACGCACAAAGCAGAAAAAATTGTGAACATGTATTGACCACGCATTTTGTTTCTTTTGCATCTTAATGATCTAATCGTTAGTTTTCGTTTCAGAATGAAGATGTATCAATCGATATGGGTGAGTTGTCCCTTGAGTTTGATATTAATATACAGCATTTATATGTACTTTTGTGTGTGATAGATAATCAGACAAATGAATTTTTATCATATTTATTTTTCAATGATGTTAAACGAGCTAAAGAATTACTTTATCGGATGAAGGTTTGTGTTAAAATTTGGTTATCAGCCATTATAAACAGAATGTTTGAATATATTCTTTTTTATCACACACTCTCTTTGTATATCAGGATCCTATTGTTGCATGTTTGATTGCGTCAAGTGTGTTCAATACAGCTGCAGAAATAATTGGATCTAACGATTATAAAACGACATACCAAGAGCAAGCTGAGTATGTGCCACTATCATGCCAGTATACGACAGGGTCAGATAACTCTGCTACCGTAGTCAACGTCTGTGACGAAATTTTAACATTCTGTTGTGTTTATTTTTTTCAACGACAGCATGGGCAGTACTGTGGAACGCAACGCCTAGCATTGTAAAGCAAACGTTTCTCTACAAAATGGGTGTCCTGAAACTCTGTACGTTTCTTTGTTTAAAAACTAGAAAGAAAATACAAAACGCCCATCAAAATGTCAAAATTTTGTCAAGGAATTTCACTCCAGTAGCAGAGTTATGTGGCCGTGTCGTATCAGAAAAATACCACAAAGAAACTGTAAAATCTTTTTCTAGAGAATTTTCAAAATATGCTGCAAATTTAATCGATCAAGTAGCATACTGTTCAACAACAAAAACTATTTTGGAGACACCTGCTAGATCTTTCTGGATCTAAAACCATTAAGCATTATAAGAAAAAGTCAATGTAAAAATATTTTGTCATCCAGTGCTGTTCATGATGCATGCAACAAAATATGGTTCGGTGATATTGAGACAAAAGGAGCATACATTCATGTTAAAGTAAGTCTGATTGTGGGCACACAAGTGATAAACTATAACAAACTTAGTTATTTAGCTATCTTTAACAATATTGTTATTTCCCATTGCACCACTTTTCGTACTTTGTGGCTTTATACCATTCAGAGCTGACTTAAAGAAGGGAAAAGGAGAACAAATAAAAGGATTTTATCGAGCACCAGTTATTGTATTTTATCACACCCTTGTAAGTAGGTTCAAACTACTTTTTTGATTTTAAGTTCGATCTTTTTTTAATTATCAGTTATTTTCTGTTGGATGTCTGACAGTGTTTGATTATGTTCTGCTGGCTGGTTATTATCCGATGAATATTTTTGGTGAATTTCGTGGCAGATCAAGAGGTTGGAAAATACCTCGATCAGAAATTGTCTTACATATTTGGTTGTGGAGTATCATACTTGAAGAAATATTGAAAATATTCTTGAAATATTCATTTATAGTGTATTCAAGCGGTACTACTTCATGGCAATATAAAAGAGTATTTTCGGCATACGTGGAAGGTTCTAGGTTGTTCACATAAAACCACATAAAATGATTGCTGATCCCAAAGGATACCATAGCAAATTGTACCCATCAAATGTTGAAGCTCTGCCAGCCGATTTTCAGCCAACGTGGAAAGATGAAGATTTTGAATTCTGCAGAGAACAAAA